TGACTTTTCAAAATTACAAATTGCTGAGTTAAAAAAAAAAAGGAAGATTTTTGGAGCTGTTACCCTGCCGTGCAGGAGTCCTAGCAGAAACTTCAGCCTTTTCTCAACTCCTCCATAAAGATGAATCCAAGTTTCCCTCTTTTTCAACTTAAGTCAGGTGTGATTCCCTGATTCTTCATTAACTACTAAAACGGCACACTAACCCTAATGGATTTGGTCCGTTTCACTCTTCTTTCTGGGATTCTAAGGAGCATCAGCCTCATATATTCTAATCCTACCTACATTTGCCGACTTCCCTGTTTTGAAGCCATCTGTTCAACACTATTAGCAAATCCTAGCTCTTAGGACTGGACTGCAGGAACCACCTGGTACTGAACACTTGATTTATGACACTTGCTTGCTTCTGGATTCCTGCTAACTTGTGGAATCATTTCAACATGTGGCTTGCAATCATTTATCATAACAGCCTATCTTTTATCAATAGAACTTTTGGGGGGGAAAAAAACCAAAATCACTTTTCATTTTTTTTAAAAAAATAAGTAGAACAGTATTTTTCTGCATTACTGTTAAGTGGAAATACTAGACTTCAAAATATAAAATAAGGCAAAAAAATCTGTTTTAATAACTCATTAGACAGTTAACAGACTTTTCAGTATTTTAGATATGCTTGGAACTCAAAATCAAGTACTTATTAAAACACAAAGAAATTACTGTATATAAACTCATCTATAATTTTCCACAATTCACCATGCAAAGAAATTTACAAGCTGTGTTTAAGATATACCCCACTACTATTTCAAAATGTGTGCTTCTTATGTACTGAAAATGGAACAGATTCGTTTACAACTGACCAAGAAATGAAGATGGTCCATGGTGTTAATGAGAGAAAACGTTTTCAATATTCACTACAAATTAAGGAACAGATTACAATAAACATGATTTCATAAAGAAAATAACACTACTTCAATCTTTGATTCAATAATAAATTTTGCCAAAAGGAAACAATAACTAAGAGGCAATAATTAGACACTACTAAACCAGATTAGGTAATAATGGACATTCTGAACTGTACTCTCTCATCACTCAGCATGTGGATTCCAGCATCCTTTCAAGTCTACATCTTAGAAACTAGCTATCACATGATATAATAAAACTGAAAAAGTATGATCAATGCCCTACCTTTACTGAGGAAGTATATTTTATAGCTTAGAAACAGTGTCATCAAAAACAGCTATTATAATTGGAAAGGTTAACTTGCCAAAAACATTCCCTCACCATAATGGACAACTAAAAATGCTATAAAACCCACACACATCACATTCTAATGGGTATTCGTTATTTTTAACAGCATATTACCATTGCTGACCTATGTAATCTCTCAGATGGGTTCTGTTCTCTGCTTAAGCATTATAAAGAATTAGGAGGGAATCCTCAGAACTACCTTCCGAAACTCCTCTCTAAACATTCTGAACGTTAGGATGTCATCTAAATCCAACCTCTCAATTTTGTAAAGAACAGTTTCTATCCTCTGCACTTTGCCAAATCTTTGTTGGTTCAGAGTATATCATTATTCAATCGCATTTACTGGCAAAGAGACTTTCCTAAGGGATATCCCTGCAGTTAATCCAGCCCTGAGAAAATGACAGTCTATGTGAAGACACTGGCTTCTCCTGGACAACTGTCAAATAAAATAGGCTCTCAAATTTCCCTTTACTGTTCCTTTCTGCTTTAAAATGTGTTCGAAGAAACAACTATCATCTCCCCTCTTTATGAACACCAATACTTAAAATGGGAAAGTAGTTACAAAATGTAGTGTACCTTAAACATGAGGAAAACACTAAGATCTACTTATTTTCTCTCCTACAAAAATTACTTTTCAACAGTTCTTAGTATAACACAGGAAAGTATTTATCTTCCTATTTAAAATAAAAAATTTAACTTGAGGCAAAAAAGGTGAAGTGACTTACCCACGGTTACAATTAGAGGTACGTACAGCTGGAGCTAGAAACCAGGTCCCTGAGTCTCAGCCCAGTGCTCTTTTCCTTAGCCCATTGATGCCTTATTAGAAAAATCCAAATACAGTCAGACCCCCAGGGACATGGGTACGAGTTACACTGATTCACATATACAAACTTTATATAGTGTGACCAATGTTTCAACTCACGCGGTACCCTGCTTCCATTTATGCAGTATGCCAGGCAGCGGCACGATTTTCAGTGGCACACAGGCGGTTGCCACCACCAGGGCCCTAGGCAAAATTGCAAAGAAGGCAAAGTTTGTCTTTGGCCCTCCCATTCCTTTATGCATTCCTCTTCCCCCCTCCTGGTCAGTCCCCTGCCCAACCTCCCAACGCCATCATGCTACCCTGGTTGTCCAAAGCTCACCAAGTCCCCACTCTCACCCAGGTCTGTCCTTTTTTCAAGTGACCAGTGATCCCCATTACCCTTCCCTTTTAAGTAATCTAAGCGATTCACTCACGTTAACTCAAAGTATGTGTAACTGGTGAGATTTAGATCTCAGAGGGGTTTGAAAAGAAACTAAGTCAAAGTTGTTGGGAAGGTAGGAAATGGAAAGACAAAGAAAAGTCAAGTTTTTCCAGAGATCATCAAAGCCTGTTACTTTCTCTGCCCTTCAGAATCTCCACAGACAAGACAACTTTAAGGGTGGGGTGGGTAACTGCCCCTGGAGTGCCACCACCTAAGCAGAGTTAAGTCTCTGGGTTTGAAAAGCAAACAAAAGCCACAGGCTGCCTTAAATACCTCCTGCCTAACCCTTTATCCCACCTCCTGGAGCCCCACTTTCATTCTGAGTGCCAAAGACACCAATAGCATTCCCTGTAAACTGCTCTTACGTGTAATAAAGTTTCCTAGCATATGGTTTCAAACTACATGAGGTTACATCCAGGTGCCACTATCCTGAAGTTAACATGCTAAAAAAAAAAAAAAAAAAAAAATTTAAAAAAATAATCCTGATTATATAAAGGTCTTGAATCATATCAGGAAACAAACTCCTTAGATAGGGCAAAAACAAGATGCGGATTCCATCATTATATGCCTGAAAGAGTTAATGTGGATAGCTTAAATACAACAACTGAAAGCCCATTCAATTCTTTCCCTTAAAAATTGTATATGCTTCTTACTTCTGGCCCAATATTGCAGTGAAAAAAACCCAGTGATTTCAAGTAAACGGATTCATAAGCCTGAGTTCACAGATGAATTCTTGAAGTGTGAACGGGTGAGGGGGAAATATCCAATAAGACACAAAAAACAATCATGTAGTTGGTTACAAACCATAAAAAACCCACTTCTGCTGACTATATACCCAGACATGTGTATGTGTACACGACTATGGGCATGGACATACTAAGCTCTGCACTACAACGGTGGGCTGCCTGCTTCAGAAATTTACCAGGTGATGATCATTTCATTGATTCAACTACCCTCCCAATAAGAATTAGGTAATTTAAAAAACCAAGGATTTAAAAGATTGCAAGTCTTAAATGAATTCTCTAATTGTATTAAGTTTTACTGGCTAAAACTCTTCAGAATATCTTTCCCTATTGGGAAAGGGACGGTATTAAGATGTGTTGCGACTAAAATAATCATTCTTACCTAAACAGGAAAACTTAAAACGTTATTTTTAATGACCATCAGCCTCGTCTCCTGGACAGGCTTTCACTCTTTTCTACACATCTACACTTGCTTGTCACTATGTCCCAGGAAGCAAAGTCCCCATTAAACTCGGAAAGGCCAATCCAAAAATACCTGCTGTTCCAAAGCTCTAAACTCAATAAATGGTTTCCCAGCCACCCCCATCTGGCCAGAGTTTTGCTAAATTTAGGTCGACTATCAATCTACTCAACTCTTAGCATGCAGAAAAGGCCTTGTCAACAAAGAAAATATTTGATTTTTCTTTTGCGTGGTCTGAAAACTATTTGCGTGCCTACGCATCCTACAGCAGTAAGCAGGGGGTTTTGGTTTTTATTTTTGTAAACGAAGTGCCGAACTAGACCTCCCTCCGTCCGACCCCACGTCCACAGGGGTCTCAGCAGAACTTGGCAGCGTCCATCACTAACTTTCCCCCACCTCCTGGTCCCCCCCTTCCACGCTCAGTGCCAGTCACCCAACTGCACTGCCTGTAAGAGGCAGGGCACCACCACCCACCCGAAGGTTCGAGGTTCCAATCTACCAGCTGCTCCGAGGGAGTTCGGACTCTCAGCACAACAACAACTTTGCTAGCAGCGTCGAGGGCAGCGACGCCGTCTCGTCTCCGCTTCAAAAGCGCCCATGATGACAAAGGCCAGTGCGGCTCTACTCGCGCTTCTCGTTTTGGGGCTCAGAGGGTCCCGGCCCCCCCCCCAGCTCTACGGCACCGGGCACCCGACTTGCAAAAGCGTCTACCGAGAGCACATGTCCACGCTGACCGCACGAAACCTCGACTGATGGAACAAAATGGAGCTCTCTCGGAAAAAAAAACAACCAGGGCACAGCCTGTGCTTTTCACCCAAAAGGGGGCCAAACGCACCCACGTCGAGCAACCACGGCTTGGGTCAAGATGCTCCCGGAGCCGTGTCGTTTCCGGGGCTCGGGGTGCACCCCCGGCGGGATGACACACCCAGGACGGGGTTAGGGGGGCTTCCCGCTCGTCAGCCCGGGCCCGGCGGACGGAGGCCCCCCGAGCGCTGGGCGGAGAAGGGGGTCCCGGGTCGCCAAGCGCGCCGCCCTCCGCGCCGGGGACGTGGGAGCCGCGCGTCCCCGCCAAGTCCGCGCGCCAGGCGCTCCCCGCCGCCTGCCAGGCCCCGCCTCGCCCCATTGGCAGCCGTTCCCGCCAATCCGCAACGTCACCGCCTCCAAGCCCGCCTGCCGAGCCCTGATTGGACGGGGACGGGCCCCCGGCCCTCGTGGTACCAATCTGGAGCCCCTTCCTCACCGCGCGCGCTCACGCCCAGTGCGCCCCGGCCTCGGCGCCCCTCCCCCACCCCGGGCCCGGCACCGGCTTACCGTCCCGGGACGTGCCCATCAGCTGGTCCAGCATCGCGCGCATCTGGGCCTGCGCCGACATGGCGGCGGAGTGGTGGCGGCCGGGCGGGGGTGGGCGCAGACCGGGGCTTTGGGGCAGGGGGACAGGGAGAAGGGGTGGGGGAGGCGAGACGTAGTCTCGGCGGCGGCCTCCGCTTCACGGCGTGCGCACGGGGAGCCCAGGGGCTGCGGGCAGATCCGGGCTGCGGGCCTCGCGACGATGGGAGTGTGGAAGGCGGCAGGCCCGAAGGCGGCCCTGATCCTCTCGCTAGGTCCGGCTCCAGAGGCAGAAGCGAGACGGAAACAGCGAGGTCTCGCCGCCAGCACCGCCACCCGCCACAAGCAGCCAACCCCCCTTCCGAACGCTGACGCCGCTCGCCGCCGCCGCGCCGTGAGCGCGCACGCGCCTTACGCGCGCTCGCTTCCCGTGGGGGCTCCACCAACGGGCGTCCAACCGCATTGGCTGCGCCCGCCCCGCCCAGCCGAAGGCCCGCCCTAACGGCTCCCAGGCGCGTGCACGTCGGCCGCGCCCGCGCCAATCTCGCGAGATTCCTTCCCGGGGACGCGTCCGCCTGCGGCGCTCAGCCGGGAGTTCCGGGCCGCGGGGGCTGGGTAGGTGGGCCGGGGGACCGCGAACCGAACCCGGGCTAGGCCCACGTGTCGAGTGCCAGCCCACGTCGGAAGTAAGCAGACGGTATGCTGGCTGGTCGACTGGGGTAAGCCGGCTTCGTGGACGGCGTGGGCACATGTAGTCCAAATGTCCCGAGTCCAGCGGGGGTCAGGCCCGCGCAACCATGCGGACCCCACGTGTCCTCGCTGCTTTTCCTCCAAGTGCAGCGCGGGGGCACTGAGCAGTTGATGACCTAGTCTTGGGTAAAGGAGGTGACCACAGCGCCGTCCTGCGTGGGGGTGAGCCCTGGAGAGAGCCAGTGCGTCCCGAGCCTCTCCCTGCTGTGGGGCGTCCCCAGGCCCCGTGCTGCGGGGCGCCCCATCCTCCCCCTGCTGCGGGGTGTCCCCCGTCCCCTGCTACGGGGCGTCCCGAGCCTCCCCCTGCTGCGGGGCGCCCCATCCTCCCCCTGCTGCGGGGCGTCCCCCGTCCCCTGCTGCGGGGCGTCCCCCTCCCCCTGCTGCGGGGCGCCCCATCCTCCCCCTGCTGCGGGGCGTCCCGAGCCTCCCCCTGCTGCGGGGCGTCCCCAGTCCCCCTGCTGCGGGGCACCCCATCCTCCCCCTGCTGCGGGGCGTCCC